GCTCAGGATGGGAGGGTCCCATGCTGAGGGGCTTTCTTGTCCCCGCCTGGCCAGTGGGGACTTCTCTTTGCCCCCAGCCCCACTGGTCGGCAGGGGCCTTCTTTCCCCTCCCAGCACCACCCCAGCTGCCAGAGGCCAGGGGCCTTCTGTCTACCTCTGGGTCCCCTGGCAATCAAGGGACTTCTATTCCCTCAACCAGCCTCCCCAGCCATCAGGGCCCTTCTGTCTGCCCCCAGCTCCTGCTCCCTCCAGCCTCCTGGACCCCTCTGTCTTCTCCTGGCAATCAAGGGCCTTCCGTCTCTCCCCACAATCCCCTGGCCAGCATGAGCCTTTCCCCCATCCCCTCTGGCCACCAGGAGCCTTCTGTCCCCCTCTAACTCCTCCCCAGCCGCCAGGGGCCTTCTCTCCCCCTACCTCCCTCATGGCTGGCATGGGTCTTCCCCCCATCTGGTGTTGCGGCCAAGGGCTGATGGAGAGGGGTTTGGGCAGAGGGGCTACTTACCCGGACAGATGGCCGGCAAGATCGTGAGGCCCAGCCCTGCTGGCCACTCCCCCAGCAGACACTCTGGAGGATAGCTCTCTCCTTCAGGCTCATCGCCCCCAGTGGCCACTCTTGTATCGTGCCCTCCTTTCTGTGCCCCTCCCTTTCCATATTATGAACCAGTCCCATTCCTGGCACTTCCCGTTTTCCTGGCACAACCAAACCCTGACCTTGCTTTAAGTTAGGAGAAGAGGAATGTGTATACCAAATGTGGTGGTCTTAGCTCGTACCGTTTAGGGCGAGTTCTTGAACAAATGGACTCTCAGACAGACAGACACACAAATCTCTAAAACAGAGAGCTTCACTGGGCCACAGGGCAAGTGAGTATAGCCATTAAGGCATTCACCTGGGAGGCAGAAGCTAGGTATTCAAATCCTCTGAATAAGGCCGAAAAAGGGAGGCTTACAGCTTGCACAAGAATACTCCAGTTAATCGCTAATTGACTATCCATCCCTAGGCATGTAACTTCTGTGGAAATTGCCATTTGGCATCCTTACCCACTCTGAGCCAGAGGGGGGTTTATCCTTGCACCCGGACAGGTGTGGAAGACAAGCAGTTTGCCTTTCCTCTCTTCAGAAGTAATCAGGGTCTGTAGGTATGGGCTCCACTGCAGTTTAGGGTTGCCCCAAGGGTGCTCTAAACTGTGCCTTTGCCATAGAGGGCTTTGCTGAGACACAGTAGCCAAGGTGCTGCTCCAACCCTGTCATACTCCCTGCCAATTCAAAGTGGTTTCCTCTCTTGCCTTTGGCCCATTCCTGCAGTGTCCACTTCCAGGAACATGCCCTGAGGCTAGAGGTCCTAGGAAGGCCACACAGACACTGTGGCTCCGTCTAGATTGGCATGATTTTCCGCAAATGCTTTTAACGGAAAAGTTTTCAGAAAAGCGTCTAGATTGGCAGGATGCTTTTCCGCAAAAGCACTTTTTGCAGAAAAGCGTCCATGGCCAATCTAGACACACTTTTCCGCAAAAAAGCCCCACTGAGCTGTCTACACTGGCCCTTTTGCGCAAAAGCTTTGCACAAAAGGACTTTTGCCTGAACATGAGCAGCATAGTATTTCCGCAAGAAGCACTGATTTCAGACAGTAGGAAGTCCGTGTTCTTGCGGAAATTCAAGCGGCCAGTGTAGACAGCTGGCAAGTTTTTCCGCAAAAGCAGATGATTTTCTGGAAAAACTGGCCAGTCTAGACACAGCCCACATGTGCAAGTCTATGGTTTGGACCAGACTACAAAGTTTTGCCAACATACCTATGACAGCTAGGGATGGAGGGGAGGGGGAATCACACATAGGCACAGCTGGTCAGGTAACCTAGCAAACCTCCCCCCCCACACACAACTATGACAGATGCTACAAAGCAAGCACAATATTGC